ACTTAGTTTCCATTTAGCTGATATTTCTCCTTCTCGAATACATATGTTCACAAGATATCTAAAGAGTTTTTGTGCTATAGGACCTGCTTTTTTAATTAGTAGATAACTTATATCTGATAGACCTAGTACTGATTTGGCCTTTGTCTTTTTAAGTACTTCTGTCCATTCTTTTTTGAAGATCTTACTCACTAGACTGTCATATATTTTTATATCTACTTTCTCTAAAGGTTTGTAAGCTTTTTCCCATCGCTTAGACATGTTTGTACTTTGAGTATTTTTTTTCTAAATTGCTTTTGAAAGTGATCTCTCACTTCATTCAAGACTTCATTTTTTTGGTTCAATAGGATTATATTAGAATCATCTTTTTTTATAACTCTGTTTATGACTACTCATCTAGAAGATCGCTCGAGTAAGCTACTAATCATATGCTTAAGCTCTCCTTGTATTGCCTCACAATGTTGTTCTACTACTTGATTTATCTCTTCTAGTTCTTTTTTTTTCCTTGCTTGTTGCACTTTTGTATATATAATCTTCTACTATATCTTGAGATTTTCGAGTCATCTTTTAGACTATACCTTTTCTGAGAGTTCTTCTATTTTAGTTTCATATTCTTCGTTTAAATACTTTATCTGTAAATTAATGTTAGTTCTATTTGTTTTGATGATTTGTTAACCAATTCCTGCTATGCATTGCTGACATATTTTCCTAATTTTTTTCAAGTCTTTCTTTATGCTATCACTCTTATTTATTTTTTTTTTGTTTTGATTCTCTTGAGTGCTACTTTTTTGCCTGGTAGTATAGCTTTAGCGCACTTAATGATACTAGCTAATATTATATCCTACAAATCATCTTTACTTATTGCTTCTAGTCTGTTTAGGTTATCTTTCCTTTTTCTGTTACTTAGCTTCTCCTCGAGTGTGTTGTCTAGCTTTGCTTTGTAATTTTCCTAGTTTTCTTCTACAGCTTTTTTTAAACTAAACACCTATTTTTTGCCTATTAGCCTTTTATCGCAAGCTGCAGTTCTAGATTTTTTTATAATTCCTATTGTTATATTTGTCTTTACTATCATATGATTACTATTTGTGATTACATCTGACTCGATTATCTGACAACTTAGTAAACTCTGTGCTAGATCTTTTGAGATCCAGATGTAGTTTATTCTAGATTTAATCTAATCATTTGATCTAGTGAACTTCTTTTCATATAGATGTAATTTTCTGAATGCATCTACTATATCTGAATTGCCTAGCCAGTTTAGAAGAGGGAGCTTCTGAGTTCGTTTGGAGTCTTCTCTGTTTTGGTCAAGATCCTTGCTTCTTATATCATTCAAGTCACCTATTACTATAATTTTTATAGCTTTTTTTCAGCAATTATAGATTCTTTTTATAACTTGCTGCTATATATCTTTTCTAGTCTTCTGATCATTATGAGGGATGTATACTACTATTATCTATACTTTTTACTTTTGAATATGAAAAGAGCTTCTATACAATATACATTGTTTTGTTTTATCTGACTCAGATGCTTTTCCTATTTCTTATTCATAATTAATTCTACTCTATACCCTTTTTTCTTGTTTTCATTTGCATCTGTTTAGATCTCCAAATAATCTTCATGTCTACTCATGCTAAACTTATTTTGCCTTTCTGTTGTGTTAGTTTCATTAATCCTAATCATATCTATTTTTCCTTGTTTTGCCTATTCCAGAAGTATTTCTAATTTAACTGAATTGCCTTTGATCCTATTAATGTTATGCATAGCTATATTTAGTATCTGATAGTCCTCTACTATAATACTTTCACTCTCTCCTACTTTGATTTTTTTTTCTACTCCCCTTTCTAACTGAAAACAGTCTGCACTACTGTCTATTAACATTAGTTCAACTAGTGCACCTATTAGAAGTAATTAGATGCATCTCACTCCATATGTTAGATTTTTTCCTCAAGGCTTTTTATAAGCTGCAGCATATAGTCTATAGTGTTTTCATAACTTCTATATAGTTCTTGAGGTATTATATTACTACTAGATGCTTCGCTGAGAGGAGCTCTTCTTTTTTCTTCTCTGATTTCTTTGCTTTTCTTTTTGGAATATGCACTTCTCCATTAGCATTCTGTATCTGAGTTTTCAGTATCTGATACTTCATCTTTGCTTGATTCTGTATCTGAAGAGCTTAAACTCTGCATATTTTGGTTATAACTTTCTTTGTATATCTTGTTATAATATGTTTTCCTTTTCTCTGTCTCTATTTTTTTACTCTCTGTTATTTCATCTTTCTCTTTTGCTTAGTTAAGTCTAGTGTTAGAATAGAATACTGCAAACTTTGTACTGTTTATGCAATCCTTTTTATTTTTAAAGTATACAGTTGCACTTCTTCTACTATTACTGTTAGAATTTCTAAAAATGTATAATGCTTTAGCATCTGTACATTTTACTTGTCTCTATAATAAGATTTCGTTAGTATTTTCTGACAAGTTAAGCAATTTTCTGTTAAATATATTGTATGCTTTCAACTCCTCAAGATTGCATTTTCCCACTATAACCCTGACTAGTTAATCTCTCATGAAGGACAAGTACTATGTTTCTGCTAAAACTCTTGTATTTGTTGTATTAGGAAAGAAGCTTGCTTCTGCTCTTGTCTTATCATGAGGCTCTTTAATCATTTCTATATGAGCTACTCTTCCTAAATACTGTATTGTTTCAAAGACCTGAGATCTTCTAGCTCAGATTGATAAATCCCATATTGTTATATAGTCTTCATTTGTTTCTAATATTCTTTCCTTGTCTTGTTGATTGAATATTAAATTATTTTCTGATATGGCTGTATATTTTGAGACAGAGTATTGAGATATTTTCTCATTTCTTTGTTTAGAGATTTCTTCAAGCTCTCTCTTTGCTCTACTTTTCCTCTCAGCTTTGCTTTCTACTTTTTTTGTATTGTTTAGTAATTTTTCTTATAATTTTTTGACTGTGGGTATTTGCTGGGTCACCTCTCATATGAGTCTCAATTTTTTGAAGTCTTCTTTAAAGTTTTCTAATTTGACTCTTGCTTTTTCATAGCCTTTTTCACAATCGAAAGTGATTATACACCAAAAGTTTCCTTTCTCAAATTTCTCAGAGATCTTCTTTAGGTCTGCATTCTCTCGAAGTGACCATCTAAGAGATTTTTCTCTTTGCTCTGAATTATTACCAAGCATGTTTATAGTAGCTACCTTTGTCTCAATATTTCCTTTGTTTACACAGCTTTCTTTTTTTGGAACCTATATACTTTGATCTAGAGAAACTTTTTTGTATACTTCTAGGTCCACTTTATTATCTGCTTGTTTCTTAGCTTCAGTATCTTTTTGATCAAGTGTAGTGCTTCTTGCAGTTTTGCTTGTTTTGATATCTTTCATATCTTCAGATATACTGCTATCTGCTTTGGTAGTTGATATAGGTTCACTGTTTAAGCTCTTTGATTCTATGTAGTTTTAAGAAAGTACTGATATATGTGGAGTTGCTTGTTCTTTTTCTTCTACTTTCATTTCAATTTCTTCTGTCTTTACTTCTGCTTCTTTTGTGTAACTCATTCTTTTCTCTTCTTCTAATTCTATTAGAGCTCTTACTCTATTGAATCTATCTGTTATTGTAGCTCTTTCAATTACTGCATGCCATTGTCTAGCTATTTTAACGATTTCTAATTCTATACCTATCAACTCTGCTACTATTTTGTAAAGATGTTCTTCTAAGCCTAGCATTATATTGCTTCCTTCTATTGCTATTTCCTTACTGTATTTTTTAATTACTTCTTTAATTAGTCTCTTAGTCTTTTCTTTTTTTCACATTTTGCTATTCTAGTTTGCTCTCTGATGAGTTTATATGAGTTGCTTGTTTAGTTTAGAGTACTTTTCCCTTATTTGAAACTTAGTATGTTATATTTTAAATGACTTCATCTTTTTTTTGAAATTTCTAAGGGTTTTTTCTGATTGCCTGTAGTTCGTCTAGTTTTGGTCTTGCATATACTATCTATATTTCAGACACATGATATGTAATTTACCTGTAGTATATTTTGTTTATCTTTTTTCACATGTTTGTACTATATAAGATGATCTGCATTTCAGGGTTTGTTTGATTCTCCAAAATAATTTTTTAAAAGTTTTCGTATTTTGTTCAAAGCCCAAACTTCTTCTATGATACTTGATTTTCTTTTGTTCTTTTTGCTTCAGTATATATATTTCTTTCTTTTCTTTCTTTTTACTTAAGAAGTCTTATGCTTGTTCTTAGTGAAATCTTTGAGTTAACTTGATTTTTTTTCTGCTCCAAAATTTGTCAAAATGATCGATGGAGAGAGTTTCTTGTTTTGTATTGCAGAAATTAATTTAAACTAACCATTCTTCTAATTTTTTAGATCTATATTTTGATCTTTACTTGGCATAGATCTATAATACTTTTCAACAATATTTGATCCAAAATGTTTGGCTAAAACATTATAATAAGTATCATAATCATTAATAGTTGCAGAATAGACTATACATTGATTAGTAAAATTTGATTACATAAGATCTAATAACATCTTTGTTTGATTTTCTTTTTGTGCTAGTTTATTCAAAACTTCTAATCGAATTTCAGACTAGGATATTGTAGAACTTTAAAATATTTTTAAGTTTGATAATCCAAGACTATCTTTGATCATTTGAGCATTTGTTTCACTACAAGTTGCAGTAAGAAGAAGAATTGGTGAAGAGGAAAAATCTTGTTTAAGCAAGTTTAATTTTTCTAATTATTTCTAGAAATAATATAATAATTTATTAGTATTAGATTCTTTAGTAATATAAATATTTTTACGTTTATCACTACATACAGTATCCCTCTAAAATAATACTTCTGATTAAAACCCAGATATTATTTATCACCTACCTAGCTTAATTCTTTAATAGTATTCAGAGCATATTAGTTTATTACTTTTCATATAATATATCTCTAATATAGTATCTAGTGTCTCATACAGTACCTATGTGTACTATTTAATTTAAAAAATATAGTTCTAGAATAAGATTTCAGATACTATATGCAGTAGCAAACAGTATAACTTACTGAAAATAAATATATTAATTTATATAATATGCTTCATCAATAATAAATTGCAATCCTCTATTACATGCAATATTTTGTAACATACAAGAAAATGCAGGATTTTTTATATATTTTTCAGAGTTACTAGCAATATTTGTGTAAATCTAAAAGCAATTTCTGAAAAAATTGCTTCTTGAATATTAGATAGTTGTTCAGAAGATACGTATAATATAGCTGATGGATACCTATATTTACTAGTTCCTGCTATTTTAAACCAAAAAAATTGAGTATATTCGAAATATAATAACAAAAATAAATTACTGCTATAGCTGAAATTTTTTTAAATTTTATATTATTATAATATCAATTTTTAGTATCAGCTAATCTCAGCTTTAGCTACTACAATTACTATAATAATCTTTACCACTTAATCCTCTATTAATACTTTTAGCGATATAAAAACTACAGTTAATCCTGTAAATAGTAAAGCTGAAAAAGTATAAATAAAGGTCTTTTCTCTACCAGTAGGTAAAATATATAAAGTATCATTTCCTATAATAAAACTTTCAATACTTTTTCATTGCTTTGGTCTAAATCCTATAAAATTAAATATTTCACTAACAATTGTATCTAATATTTTATTTTTTGAATCTAGTTTATATTTGTCTTTATTTTAATAAACTTTATTTGGAATCTGTTAAGAGCAACTGTACATTTTATAAAAGCTATATACAAGACAAAGACTATTAGGATATCATATAGGAAAAAATTGACAACTATTATACATAATAATAGTCTTAAAATTAGATATTTTTGTTGCAAAAGAAGGATGAAACTATGTAGTTTTTAAACTTTGTTGAACAATTTGACCATATAGTACTAGATCCTACAATAAAAATAGTTATTAATACTTATTTTTTTTTATAATTACTTTATAAATTACTTAACATACTTGGTTAAAATTAAATCCTCTAAGACAAGTTTTCTGATTTATAATTTTTTGAGTATGAGCCTAATTTTAGGCTTCAATTTTAGTCATATTTGCTATACATCAATACTTTTTTTGTTCTTATATCTTGCTAATATTATATATATCTTGATTTAAAAATTTATATAATTTGCTAACCTTCTTAACGATGTTTAACATCTCTATCAAACCAACATTATTATGCAATATTGCTAATGCATGATAAGTAGTGAAAGACTTTAGATAATCTGTTTTCTTATTAGTATAATTTAATTTTAGATGATTAATAGCCTTATTAGTACTAGTTCTAATTGTTGTTATAAGGCTTTGCTAATTTAGTAATTTTATAATTTTTTGTAAAAACTCCTCTAAATCCTTATATTGTATATTATTATATGTAATTAAATTATGTATATCTAGTTCAAGATCTGAGTTCTCTATGATTTAGCAAACTTCAAGCCAACACTTATCATATTTATCATATAAATAATTAATTATTATTTTAGTTTGCATATCAAATAATTTATCATTAGTTAGACTTTCTATATCTTAGCTAATAGTACAAGTAATTGCTAGATATATATACTTAGAATAATATTTCATAATAGGTTGTTCAAACTGTTTTCAATGAATATGATTTACTAAAGTAATAAATAAGATTAATCTAACATTAATACATATAAATAATTACTATATAGTACAGACTATAGTATCTACATCAAAGTACTCCTCTCAAAAAAATTATATAGTTGAATATAAAATACCAGGTAGGTATATCCTATGTAAAAAAAATAGTTCATATGAAAGATCTCTTAGTATAGTACTCAAGTACTAATTTGGATTTTGCCTGTAGAATGTATTATATCTAAGGTATTATAGTTTGCACTATACAGTAATATTATTATATTTTATATTTTTATAAACATACCTATTTTTTTTCTAATAAGCTTTGACTTATGTTTTAAATCACCAAAAATCTTATATACAATACTTTGATTAGCTAGTGTTTTATTACTATCTAAGTTATTGTTAATAGCAATATTAAGAACAATATTATATTTTTCTAAAATTGGTGTAATTTTGTTAATTATCTCGATAAAAATAGCATATTCTATTTGTTTAGAACTACTATTATAATTTCCTTTATTTATAATTATAGTTTTTTCATTCTTATTTTTATACTGTCTTAGTTTTTCAACAATGTGAAATACAATAATAGGTTTGTGTAAACTATCTATATAAAAATATATTATTATTTAGGTCTGGCGATCTTAGTGTAGTGGTTAGGTTGCCAGACCGCCATGCAAGAGGTCTGGGGTTCAAATCCCACTG